CAGATCGTCAAGTATCAGCCGTATCTCGCGTCTCTCCTCCGGTACACAGCACCGTAAGACGTAGTGTGGAGTTGCATTAGGTAACGCGAGATACGGCTGATACTTCATTAGTTTCTGTTATGGATCAGTATCAACAGTCCTGCCAGTAACTTTACTATATTACCAATACTACTTTAGTTATAGCCTGATATGATTGCTAACTTTACATGTTGTGATGTGACTGACGTTAGCTAACATTAACTGTAGCTAACGCCGGTCACTCACCAAGACAGCTGCCCTGTTCTCCACTGGTTCTCCTCGCACCACAGCTCCATTTCTCGCCGATGGCCGTTATTTCTTCTAATCCTTGGCTGCTCCTGGTCTCTTGGACGCATAGCAGGCTCATAATTATAATCATATGCATTCAAATATATATTTTCAACCTCTTCTGTGTCAAAACTAGCATTGTGATCCATGTTTATTCATACGTTAGACCGGCCGCTCTCCCCCATGTTACGTCACACGCGGGAGGTCACGTGCGGAGGCTTTTTTATGCGGAAGTAAAAATGTCTTACTAAAACGACACCAGATGTCACTAGTGTATATTTCTGTATATTTTTTTGAAAATCTAGTGTATTCATCATTTTCCTACACATTTATTCACTGGTGTCTCTAACCTGCAAGTTGCTCTTTAACTCTGTGTATAAACACCCCTAAAGGCTGCTAACGTGTTCTTATTTTCCTCCTTTAGTAACTTGGCCTTCATGATTGAGATTGCTCAAAAGGAAATGCAAAAATTCAGGTGACCAATCACTAGAACATTTGTGCTGGATAAAGGTGTAATTAAATGCATTTTCACATGTTGACTAATTATTTTCTTTCTGCTACACAGGAAGCAAATTCAAGATCTAAATTGGCAGCGTAAGAACGACCAGTTAGCTGGAGGAGCCAAACTGCGAGAGCTGGAGTCAAAGTACGTTGTTTGAAGAATTATATATCACCATGGGGGGTTAATATTTTCCTGTTGTAACATTTGTTTCTGTCCCTACACAGCTGGGTGTCTCTGGTCAGTAAGAACTTTGAGATTGAGCGCGCCATCATACAGCTGGAGAACGAAGTGACGCAGCTCCGGCAGCAGCAGGGGGACGAGAACAAGGAGAACATCCGACAGGACTTCTAGAGCAAGTTTAACCCTCGGAGAACTGATCAGACCCTTAGTCCGAAATATGTCATGTTTCATTAACTGCAACCTGAGGAGCAACCGTCACTTGTACAGTCTGGAAACCTCCTAGTGTACCTTGAAAACACCGGGGGAATTTTGAATATTGCAGCTTTTGGATAACTTTTATTTTTCAAGGGTTAAACATTTTTAAAGTGGGGCTATGTATAATTGTCAACAAGAAAAAAATTTGTTATTTTTACAAATGCAAATGTCAAATTGTTAGCAATGAATCAAACTTTGCTAGGTAGCCAAAGGCGGCTAAAGCTAGCGAATGTTAGGTATATTTGCTGGCATGTCTTTCTGCTTGTGCCACTGTCATACAAACATTGTTCAGCAAAAGTTACATAATGTGTCTTTTTAAAGGGTGATTTATACCAGCGTGTAGGTGTCAGTGTTTCGAGGCCATCCACCAACAGGAGTGTTAAAGATTTAGTGTACATAGTTTTTCCATGACACTTTTCTATGCGAGCCCCACCGTGACTTCATTTATGCTGTTTTAATAAAATGAACATTTTCTAGTACTTCTGTGTGGATTGGACTTATTTATATCCCACTATCGTGTTATCTTTCTGCATCAAGACGGTTTCTTTATTGCGGGCAGGTTTAGGGCATTCAAATTGCGGTCCCTCCCACAATATAATGAAAAAAACTACTCGTTTCCACCTGCCGCACAGGCAGGAGCCTACATCACTCAACCGGAGAAACCATGGATTCCTTGTGTGGAATTTCTGTAAAACTCATTTATAAAGTTATCAACATGCCAAGGCCCAATTAAAATGCTACTTTTAGGCATGGTATTTTGTGCTAAATCTTCAGCTGAAGGACATACAGTATTGCTAGCTCAGAAATGTCCATTGCTGAGGGTTTATCATTTATCTACCGTGGGTTAATAATTACACAATGCATAATTACTACAATTAACCTCTGACAACTGCATTCAAGATAGCCCTTATTTCAATAACAGCCAGTCAAATACTAAATAGTATATTTCCTGATAACATGGACTGGAGGACAACTTCTCACTTCAAAACATTAAGAAATCTAGACCGCAAAAGAATTAAACAAGCGAGTGCTTGTTTTTCCTGGCCAAGGACAGGTTCCTTGAATAAAACACGAGCGTAACTTGTCATCACGTGGTGTATTGCTGACGGAGAGTATGGGAACGCCGCTCCAGCACTTCAAATATTACAGTACCCATAAGGAGCTGTACACATATAGCAGTTTTTGCGCAGCTATGTCTTTAGTTGTAAGCCCATTGGCGATCTGTCGTTATTAGCATCTGGTTAGATATGCTAACGAATATAAAGAGCTTTTTTCTACAACCAGGTGGAAGAGAACTCTCTCCTCCCGACAGACTGAGAGGCTCAAATAACCGTCAGCTCAGTGAGGTTAAGGCACACCTTGATATGATCATTATAAAAAATAAGAGAATAAATAAACAGGTAGGCCTATACAATACTATATAACAATAACAAAAAGTTGTTATTAATAAACAAGAATACAGTTTGAAAGGGGAGTGATTTGTAAAATATCCATAAAGAAAAATAAATCTGCTTACAGTTATGTTTCATATAAGTGTTGGGAGATTCCCAGTCGATCGCGAGATGTGTCTAAAAATAGAACAACAATATTCTGTTTTATCGTTAATGTCTATAACATAATCTTCCTGTGCCAGAATAATGCACTTGAACGCATCAAAGCTTTGTGATTGGCGTGACCCCATGTGTCGGGGCGTGGCTGGCTGGTGAGCAGGAGGGTATACTACGAAGCACGATTTTCGCTTAGCCGGCTAACTTCAGGGAAAACTCGGGGTTTCCGGTCCTACGAAGCTGGTTCTCTTTTTAGCAGGCTAGATCTCCATGGTAACTTATGCTGTGCGGCTAACCTGCCACGGAGCAGATTAGGTTGCAGCTGGGTTGCAGGCTAAGAGCTCAACTCAGTGAAAGCACTGCCTGCTGACCAATCAGAGCTCAGTGTGCGGAGTTTAAAGCGATCGAGTCATATTACAGGAGAAAGGAAATACAGAAAAGCTGCCGTTGCAGGAAAGACGGCCGGCAAAAATTACCGACTGTGTGAACGTGAACATTAATAGAATATCACCTCCCATCTTCAGAGCAATCTGACTATTATAACATTGCCTTTAAGAAAGCTTACTTAAATATCTGCCACAACATAAGTAACCGGATCAGAGTAACACTAAGTACAGTCCGCGGCATATCACATCATGGTGTATAATTATTTCCTTATCTGAGTCAGCTGAGCCGTATCTGGCCGTGCAATACTTACAGTGTCACATACTGTATGCAGAAGTATTATTTTAAGCAACACATTAAGTTGACGAAACACTCGAGACAAATGTAATTTAAAGTCAGATCCACTCGTGTCTTAGACGGGGCAGTGATATCATAAACCTATTAATGTACGCATTCAAACACTTTTTC